CATGGCAGACAGTGTACGCGCTGGCCCGAAAACGAAATGCTGCGCTGCTTCTCTCACTACTGACTGTGTGCCCTCCGTTCCCTTCTCATCTTTGGTCTTCCGCTAATGGTCTACCGTCTACATTCTTCTGTGCACCTCCGCTCTCATCTACGTTGAGATATAGGCTGGCACACACACACCCGCACACACACCCAGACACAGATCGTGTCCACCACAAAATGCATCCAGCCAGCCTCCGTCTCGCAAACGCATTCCGTGGTTTGCTGAAGCACGGAACAATGCCCGTTAGCATTCGCGGGCTTCACCATGTCGCGCGTGCTGTTGTAGCGTGCCTGATACTCGTCGTCACGGCCACAGCAGCCGCTGCCTCCATTGTTAAGTACACCGTCACCTCAGTGACGCGAAGTCAGCTGGCTGTCTTGCCGCATGAGCACTGGGCCCAGTACCAAACCATATGCGGCTCACCCAACGCGACCCAAACCTGGACTGACACATCCTTAATGAGGTTTTTCTTCCCGCCCCTCTCGCGTGCCGGTACGAGTGCTGCTTTCTACGCCTGGAACGGCATCTCCTGGTATGTGAGCGACATGGGTTTTCTGTCCCCTACGCCGTATGGCATGTGCAAAAGCTTTTGCCAGAAAAGAATCTACGCGACGCTGCAGGGCAACTACGCCTTCTCTGACAACGTTTCACTGCTGCACGACGGCGGAGGTGACTGGCCCATGATTTCCTTCTACGCAGCGCCCTTTGCGTTCAGCGGCGGATCTCCCTCCCAAGTCAGCATCGTTACACAGGATACCATAGCGGACGGAGCCGTTAGATCTGCAGCTGGTGAGCACACGCCTGATAGCAGTGAAAGCATTCGAAACTCAGGATTCGACGGGGGGTACACAACTCTTGAGTACTGCAACGTGCCGCTTCTTGGAGCAACAGGCTCTGCACAGACGCAGCTGACGGCACAGGTGGTGGTGTACGCTAACGGCACCATCATTATGCGGTACGCCTCGCTGCCACGCACCAGCACGCTGCCCAAGTACATGCCGAGCACGGGGCTCATCTACTCGAAGACGTTGCGCACGGTGGTGCCGACGCCGACGACGGCGAACGGCATTGTCGCGTACCGCTTCGACCCCGTGTTTGACGGATGTGCCGCACATGGCGATGCCTCGGTGTGCACGGCGGACACGGAGAGCGACTGCGTGTGGTGCTCCTCCACGTCCGCGTGCTGTGCGAGCACGGTGGCGTCGGCGGTGTGCCCACGCGGGCAGTGGACAGCGCCGGCAAGCAGCACGGCTGCCTTCGCGCCGCAGAAATTCTACGACGTCACTGTAGACTTCGACACCCCCTTCGTGTCAATGTCGAGCTACAACTACTCGTACACGCTAGAGCACGGCTACTTTCCGCTACATCTGGAGCACTTTGAGCGCAACATCCCACTGTTCCAGACGCCATCGCAATCAATCATGAAGTGCATCCCTGGTGCTTCGTGCCCCACGCAAGCCGACACACACCCTTGCGGCCTTTACCATAGCATGTGCATGAACGGCAACTACACACTCTCTATCTTGGCACTGGAGTCGTCGTTGAGATTTGCAAAAGGCGGACTTTGGACTGTAAAGGCACTACCCGAGCGGGCCCGCGGCGAGCAGCTCTGCGAGGAGGAAGGCGGCTGCGCGACAGGCCTGGTAGGCCAGCTGACAGGGGCTGCCGTAGACTCTTACTCTTCCACGCCGCTCTTCTCTGTGCAGCTGTACGCCGACGCCAACGGCGTAGGGTACCGAGCTCACGATCGACTGTGTACGCTGCGCGCAAGGTGACCCGATGCTTACGTACCCTCCAATGCGCGTTGGACTTGTCCGCTATGGTGTGGACGACGCATCATCGGTCATGATCCCGCAAGGCCTCCTGCGCAGTGGGCTGCACGTCCGCTTCGTGCCGAGGTCGAGCTGCAAAGACTGCGGATTGAACGGCTGGTGCGACGAGTCCTCGGGCACGTGCCAGTGTCAGCCGGGGTACCACGGCCGCAGCTGCGTGGCGTGCCCTGCGTGCTGGACGGGCAGCGAGTGCGACGACGGGATCAACGGCAGTGGGTCGTGCCTGTGCAACGGAGGTGCGTGCGAGGCAGCGTGCGTCAACGCGAGCAGTGGGAGCGTGCCGCCGAGGAGCTGCGCCGGGTGCGATGCTGTTGGTGGGCGGTGCAACTGCGGCGTGTGCGAATGTCGGGATGGGTGGAGCGGCGCGGGCTGCAGCAAGGCTCCTGCTGACGCGTGCCGCGCGTACTCGTTGGACGGGTGCAAGGTGTGCGGGCAGCACGAGGGGTGCGTGTTCTGCCATGACTCGACGTGCTTCAATCCTGCGCTGAGTGGGACGCGTGACGGGTACACGTGCTCGCACAGCACCCCCGCCGCCGACACGCAGGCGTGCGTGACCTACGGCAGCCTTGGCTTGCATCCACCCTTGTACAAGGGCTTTGACTTCATCGCGATCATCTGCTTAGCCTTCGCGGCACCCGTGTCTTTTCGCTGCTCG